TACTGCGATGCTATGTAATGATAACGTGTTGGTGCCAAAAAGACATTTCGTCTTGAAACGTAATGGCAGCAAAGAGTTTATGTAATCGCTGCACCTTGCTGAGGATCAGCCTATACGCCCGCATAACTCCCGAAACATTACAGCTAGATTCAGAACTGAAGACTTCAATTATTTGCCCACTTATTGTATCGTGTTCTTGTGGCGTCGAAGGTGACCATTCATGAACAGTATTCTCTATTCGAACTAGTAGAAATTCTATGAGATCTTTTCCGAGTCAAGCATCGATGTCGAGTTTTCCAAAAAACTGGATCATAAGAACTCTACCGCTGATGACCATTTAGATGAGTTCTAGTCGGCGTCATCAGGAATAGTCCCCTTTCGACTATTTGTAGTAATAGATTTTGAAGCTTTATGGTTACCTTAGCAGCATAATGGGCTATACCTGTTAAAATACAGGAATATTTATATACTTGAACTTTCGACAAAGGGTTGATGAGGTTTAGGGGCAAGCGGCTAACTATGCTAACAGCTAACATGATCCAGGGTCAAACTTTGATACTCGCCTAGGAGAAACGTGCCTTCCATCCTCCTGGGTTTCTCAGGTACCAGACCCGTTGTAGGATCTCTCTCAGTGCACAAAACACAAAATGAGAGCAGGTTGAAACAAACTGTTTCCATGTTTCATTTTGAGTGCCCTCTTAGCTGTCTTCCTGGAAAGATCCACAGCTTTTGTACCTGCAATGATGGATTCTACTTCACACAATCCGCAACAATGTTAAATGCAGGGCTGAGAGGCTAGGCGGATCGAAACAACGTTGAAAAATGCTCCGAATTAAATGTAGTGAAGGAAAGTTTGCATGAAATAGGGTGGTGCGGGCCTGTATGCCTAAAGCGAGTGTTATTTTCATACACGACGGCTAATTTAGGGCGATACAGCCAAGCCCAGCTGATCCGAGACTGGATTTCGTCATAGGACCACGCGCGTAGGGGTAGACACTGTCTGCCTTCTCAAATCTGGTAGGTCCGCTGGTAAGAGCAATCTCTAGGTGATCCGATCTGCTGTGAAGTAACAGTTATAATGGTGGCTGGACATTTCAACAAACGAAATCAGCACCAACCTCCCATCTATGTTCAAACTTGAGGAGGGGCAGATTCACATAGACGACGGACTAATGCTTTTTGAAATAACCTTCAATGTAATTCATAACTGGTGAGTGAAGCAAGGCAATGGTGCATACGAAAATTATCTTTATTAATTTCAAAAACTATTTAAAACTCAAATAAAGTCTCGTTCCTCCTTAGGAAATATTGTCTCCAAATTGAGCACTCCAATATCGAATGTACGTTTGGCACTTGATCCAACGCTGATATAAGATTTGGGGATGTAGAACTTCACCTTTCGCTTGCCAGGCTGAAATTCATTGACATTCATGAGTTGTTTGAACGGCTTGATTGGGGTAACCCACCTTGATTCCGTCATTACAGTCGTGATAAATCTTGAAAACTGGATCAATTTTTGTTAATTCTTTTTCCATTCCCTGCAACAAATAGCTTGTGCTCCTGGTAAGATGGCTGGCAATGATGAAAACATGAGTAAAGAGGGATGAATGTGAGGCTCACCTTAAGGGTAAAAGTACCATCACTTTTTGTATGATCTTCGTCGAGCAGATCGTCAGGATCCGGGCCTGAAATGTTACGGAAAGAGGTACTCGTGAAGGCCCGTTTGTATAGTGTGAAGGCAAGATACCGCATTTGCTGGTTACTTCTTCCTGGGTCAACTTTCGAACATGGATAGGCCTCCCTTGCCCCCTGGTTTGGAAGAAAGCTCAAGGAGTTCCTCTCTGAACTTGGGCCAAGTTACAGATCTACCCCACAGGAAAGTTCGAACTTGGGTGGACTGCAATAATAGGTCTCTACAATAATAAGTAAAACACTCAGCACTTCGCCTCACAGAAGACTTTCCCATTCATTCACCCTACGCTAAAGTTGAGGGCATTGCAATACAGTTCGATCCTACAGTATATCTGTGGGAGCTTTCAGTTAGTCTTTGGCGAAAGGCTGGACATAACTATCGGCTTTATGTTTTATAGTCTCGGGAGCGTTCACATACCGTCATCTTCGTCCCAGAGCTTCACCAAAACTCCTGACGCTGGCTTAGATCCACATAACAATTTTCCAGTAACGGCAACGGATTGTTGTCGGCCAAATACTAAGGGTAGGCCGAAGAGAACAGTTAAAATAATGTATTTCATCTAAACACAGCTAAATTAATGAAGAGAAAAGTTATCTAAATATGGAGTTAGTATATCAGAGGATTCCTTCCCAGTAAATGTTGCGTTAATGGGCTGATGTAGATGGAACCAACCCTGCATATATACAGAAGTTTGAAGTGTGGGCGTAGATTATGACCCAACGTTCGTTCTCTTCGGCCTTATCTTTGACAATGAAAAAGACTGGTTTTATGCAGGAGGAATTGTTCAAAACAACGAAAGTTAAGAGTTGTCATGTTGAAGTTCTTTGATTCCTTCCTCAACCGGAAATTAGATTCTGGTCAATTTTCCCCATAACACTTGCCTGATTTAATTTTATCAAAAATGACCGGAGAAAGCGATGGTAGAGGTCCTGCGGTTTCCATCACGTGTTGAACACTCGATTGTAAATGAAAATAGAAAAACATATAGAAAAAAAGTAGAATCAAGTAGGTTCATCGATGCTTTCATACTTCCCTTGATATTTTTTGCATTCATTAATTAATCAAGGCCTCGTATGCTCACGCATGAGACTGGGAATGGCGCCCATTCTTTCATGAGTTTAGCCTTCCGAAGAAATGACGGATTCCATTTCCACAACCATACAATCCCAAATGCACGGGCGCAACATGAATCCAAAATTAACGAGGAAAAGGCGAAAGGAAAAGGCGCGATGACTTTTGAAATAAATAGAAAATGCTCAAATGCTACTGTATAAGCACTTTCATACAGATTCGAATGCATAGCCTTGTAGGCGTCATGGCTTAAGTTCTAATTCATTTTAGGCCTGTGCTTTTCAAAAGCTCCAGGCTGATAATTTGTCGAAATTGAAGGGTTGAGTTTAAAGAAGTATATCGCCTAATCTCCACTTAAGTTGGAAGGCTGAACGGCGGAAAAACACGAGATCGTTTTGCTACCGTAATTTTTATCTCTAGAGCAAGTACCTATATCGCTACTCTCCCGCTTCAGGAGGCAGCCATCAATGAAGTCAACTCCAGCGAGTCCCCTGTCTGGAGCCAAAAAGTTGACAGGGCACGAGGAAATGAAAAGGTGAAGTGGGTTGTGTTGGTGTGATCTTGAAATTATGTAAGCTGTATTGGAAATTGTTCGAATTTCACCTGAAATCATAGTGCTCCCGGTGCGTATAATTTCACCAAGTGTTTTATAGGAAACCTCGATTTCAAAACTGCAAATTATCGGGCGTCACCGGCTGGGGAAAAATGATAGAACATGCTGGTAAAGCAAGTTTATCCTGGTTCCCTTGGAGCCAGCAGCCGGGATCTCCAACCTGCTCCCTGTTCCTCTGCCCTCACAATCTGTGCATCCGGAACTTTATACTCGCTGCTGTAGTGAAGCTCGGAGTTACCGTAGGGCATCCATTTTTCACCAATAACTATGTGATTTCCCCCGCACCATGCCCATACCCTGCACTCCATCAACCTTAGCCAGACTTCTTCATACATTTCTCCTTTTTAGAAGGTTACTCATGCATCACAGTCAACACTGATTCATACCTGGCAAATCACCACACAAAACCTAAGTTCTTCTCTGAGGCTGTTATAGGTGTGCCTTTCGTGACTTAAAGAAAACATTGAATCAGCACTTATGTTTACATTCGATATGATTTGTGATCACCTCGATAAGGAATTAATCGCATTCAAGAACTGATTCTCGGATTTAAATTATCAAATCACCAGATGTGACGCATGATTGTTTGCTCTTTAATTTTATACAATTCATGACTTTGATCGTATCAAAAAATCGTAGAAAAACACAAAGCAGAGTCAGTCGGGGTAAAAAAAATTATTTTTCGTTGATTGGCGATACGTACTTCAACAATCTGCCTAGTCTTGCTCTCATAGAGGCCTCCGTCGCCGTCAAGAAGAAGCAGTTCATTTCACATCAGAGAAGACAGAAACTTATTGGAAAATATGGGGTCTTCATGTTCTCCCAGGCTCTTCTCTACGAAGAGAGCCATGCCAACATGGGCAAGAGGAGGCCATGCCAGCTGGAGCAAAAGCAGGCAGATTCACATATGTTTGACTATCTTCAAGAGGTTTTCCGAACCCGTTTCTCAACTTATTTCTGAATTGTCGTCATATCTTAGGCCTAAAGCCAACACAACCGCTTTCGACCCCTTGTTTTTGAATATCTCCAACATGGTCATGGCTGGCAAAGCGCGAGATCAGCCTATGCCTTAAAGAGCCCGCTTTTAGGAGACCCCATAAATGTACCCTCAGTGGTTAGCTTTGAGTGTTTTGGGCCCCCAGTGAATTACAATATTCAGGTGCAATCAAAAGGAGTACAGTAGGTGCTTGTTAGTACTAGGACCATTTGGGTAACTGGGATTGGTCCTATAGGCTCATAGTTGACAAAAATGAAACACTATGAGAATATGGAGGAATAAACTTCATGAATGGAGGAAATCTTCATTTAAGAGGCTCTATAGCCTCCTACAATCCCCCTTGACGATGATTTCTCCTCAGATACATGTCGTGCTCCATGAGTTTCCTATTCAAAGATTGTATCTGCACTGCACAATACTTAACCGTAGGAGGTAAACTGTTCCCATTCTTTGCCTGACTACAAAGCCTTCTCATCTATTCACACAATGGTGAGCAACTGTGGCTGTGGAGAAATCTGTCATTAAGACAGCAATATTCTTGAAGGCCTATCTGGACGAGGGCAAAAACCCTACCTTTGCAGTATTCTCTGATCCCAAAATTCTTGACTGGTCCTCTGAAACTGGAAGAAGGGGTTGGGGGGAGGGTAGCCTGTATCTCTAATCGCCTTGTGACTTCCGGTCGATGAGAAGAATCGAAGTTTTTGGAAAACAGCTTGTCATTTCCCATCTTTACTTTAGCCTGTCAGTGAAAAGGACAGTTTTTAAATAGGAAAGATAAGGCAAAAGAGACCATGAGTCGATGTGTTTAATCTACGCCCACACCTTCGAATCTCATATATATGCAGCATTAGTTTCAACCATATCAGCTCACAATTGCAACATTCACTTTGAAGAAGTCTTCTGTTCATATTAATCTTATATATAGTCATCTTCTCTCCAGAATAATTTGCTTAATTCAGATGAAATACATTGTTTTAATTGCTCTCTTCGGCTCTTGCTTAGCGCTCGGCCGACAACAAGCTGTTGCCATTACCGGAAAGCTGCTCTGTGGCTCTAAACCAGCTTCAGGAGTTTTGGTGAAGCTCTGGGACGAAGATGATGGTAGGCATTCACACACTACCTACATGGGAAGTCCTTGCTTCCACAACGCTCATTTCTCTAACGCTATACATTTCAGGCCCGGATCCTGACGATCTGCTTGATGAAGGTCGTACAGACAGCAAAGGCCTATTCACTCTCAAGGTAAGACATCCGAGGCTTCCCACTCCTTACTGTTTACGCTCACACTAGTAAGCAACACCGCTTGTTGTAGGGAACGGAAAGCGAAATAACTAATATTGACCCAGTTTTCAAAGTGTACCACGACTGTGATGATGGAATCAAGGTGGAGTAACGTAATTGAACAATTCCTACAAGATCATGAATACCCATGAATTTCAGCCTGGCAAGCGAAAGGTGAAGTTCCGCATTCCTGACTCTTACATCAGCCCTGGAAAAGTTGCAAAACGAACTTTCGATATCGGAGTACTGAATCTCGAGACGATATTTGCTAAAGAAGAACGGGACTTNAAAGTGTACCACGACTGTGATGATGGAATCAAGGTGGAGTAACGTAATTGAACAATTCCTACAAGATCATGAATACCCATGAATTTCAGCCTGGCAAGCGAAAGGTGAAGTTCCGCATTCCTGATTCTTACATCAGCCCTGGAAAAGTTGCAAAACGAACTTTCGATATCGGAGTACTGAATCTCGAGACGATATTTGCTAAAGAAGAACGGGACTTTATCTGAATTACTGATATCCTTTTTGTCACTTTTTTTGTCTTAATAAAACTGAATTTCAAATTTTGTAAACACAGAAGCACAAAACGGGTGACTTAAAGCCTCAACGGCTGAACGTAACTTCATAGGTTTTGAAAATTACTGCTATAGTTCTTCTCACAAAACCTTTTCCAAGTCTGAAATACATTGCGACCAACGTTACCAATTTGGCGTACCTCAAAATAAATACTCGGATCTGTTGTATAAACGACTGTGAATTGATTCTTTCGAAGTTTTGAGATTGAAACCCTCCATTCAAAGTTCAATGTAATATAACGACTGATTGAAGATTCCTCTCAGTAAACATATTCCCTGAATAACCTCAAAGACTAAAAGTAAACATTTCCAGAACAGCGGAGTCGAAAAATACTCGTTGCTGAGCACAATAATCCTTTGATTCCTTCCAAAAGAAATGGAATACGAATCAGGGTTCAACACTACAGCATGCCGTACCGTAGCCGCCAAGCAACAATTAGACATTGGCGATTCGAAAGTGTTTGTTGTTTCGTTATTGTTTGCTGTTGGTTCGGAAATAAGCTTTGGTTGGAAATGATGTATTACTTGACAGATGAAATAAAGTTCAGGCTTTATATGACATGAATCAATCCAGTATCTGAAATGTGCTACGCACCCGACAACTATTCGAAATCGTCGCGGCTGTCTGAATGCATATGTGACCTATACAATGACTTGCAGTGGCAATGAAATGCAGTGCAGATCCCATGTTTCTTCTTGCTGTTTCCTGAGCAAGGATTGGAGACGCATCGTCAGGTGGAGGATTCTCAGACAGACTTTCTTTGTAGACGCATTCAGTGATTTATATAAGTTTAGTTGAGGTGTCAGAAAACCAGTCGGTTGAGAAATTCATTGAAGGCTGAACTAACGATATCTTGGCAAATGTTTAAACTCAGCATTTCTCAGGTTTTTAGCCTTTTTTCATATTTTCCTCATTGGCACACTGATCAACAGCAATGTTTCCAATCCTAATCTGTCTAATCATGTAACGCTACACCGCTGGCTGAGCCTACAATAAAATTTCTAACCAATAGGGTTTGCGAGATCTCAATTAATTTTCAATACACCAAATACGTCTACCAAAAAGCTTACCTGCGAATCCACCACCTGACTATGGCTCCTCAATTCTTGCTCATGGAACAGCAGAAGTAGATTATGATTTGCACTGCACTTCACTGCCACTGCAAGTCAGAGTATAGGCCACATATGCATTCAAACCGTAACTAGGATTTTGAATGAAAGTCATATGCGGGGTGCATCTCAGAAATGGAAATAATTTCCGCCAAACTGCTGTAGACCTGGCATTATGGATAACGTACTCACCATTTTTAACAATGGTGCGTTTCTGAAATAACAACACAATAACAATAACAACACGAAACAAACAAGTAAGCAACGTTTCCGAATCGCCAATGCCTGGATGTTTGGATGGCGGCTCAGTTTAGGCACACTGCAGTCATTGAACCATGACTCACATTTCACTTCTTTCAGGAGGAATCAATGGAATAATGTGCTTAGCAACGAGAATCTTTCAACGCAGCTATTCTGGAGATATTTACTTTTAGTTTTTGGAATATTCAGGGCATATATCTCAAAGAACAGCGGCTGCAATGTGTTTCAGAGTTGAAAAAGGTGTAGTGAGAAGATCTGTGTGGCTCGTTTAGGCTTTAAGTCACTCGTTTTGTGCTTTTGCGTTTACAACATTTGAAATTCAGTTTTATTATGAATAAAAGGTTACAAAAGGAAATCAGTGATTCAGATGAAGTCCCGTTCTTCTTTAGCAAATATCGTCTCGAGATTCAGTACTCCGATATCGAAAGTTCGTTTTGCAACTTTTCCAGGGCTGATGTAAGAGTCAGGAATGCGGAACTTCACCTTTCGCTTGCCAGGCTGAAATTCATGGATATTCATGAGCTTGTAGGAAATGTTTGATTATGTTACTCTACCTTGATTCCATCATCACAGTCGTGGTACACTTTGAAAACTGGGTCAATATTGGTTGCTTCGCTTTCCGTTCCCTACAACAAACGATGTTTCCTACTAGTATGAACGTAGCACTAAAAAGTGGAAAGACTTGGATTGGATGCCTTACCTTAAGAGTGAATAGACCCTTGCTGTCGGTACGGCCTTCATCAAGGAGATCGTCAGGATCCGGGCCTGAAGTAAATGCGTAAGGGAAATGGGGCAACAAAACAGACAGAACTCCTATGTAAGAAGCATTTGAATGCCTACCATCATCTTCGTCCCAGAGCTTCACCAAAACTCCTGAAGCTGGTTTGGAGCCACAGAGCAGTTTTCCAGTAATGGCAACAGCTTGTTGTCGGCCGAGCGCTAAGCAAGAGCCGAAGAGCGCAATTAAAATAATGTATTTCATCTGAATTAAGCAAATTATTCTGGAGAGAAGATGACTATATATAAGGCTAATATGAATAGAAGACTTCTTCAAAGTGAATGTTGCGATTGTGAGCTGATATGGTTGAAACTAATGCTGCATATATATGAGATTCGAAGGTGTGGGCGTAGATTAAACACATAGACTCATGGTCTTTTCGCCTTATCTCTCACACTGAAAAACTGTCTTTTCATTGACAGAATGAAACAGAGACGAAAAGTGATTGGTTATTTTCCTAAAAACTTTGTTTATTTCCATGACCGGAAGTCACAAGGAGATTAGAGGTACAGGAATCCTCCCACACCCATCCTTCTCTGATCAATCGAGAATTTCGAGAACCGAGAACACTGCACAATTTGGGAATGAGATCAGTTCTCTTTCGTCCCGCCCAGATGATTCTTCAGAAGGATTGCTGCCTTCACGACAGATTTCGCTACACATGCTCCAGATTGCGTCGTTAAGTGAGGCACACACACAGGCAAAGAAAGAGAAGTCTGACTCGATAGATATGTAAGGAGCAGTATCTGGTCCACTGCTGGACAATAGAAATTATGGAGTACGGTATATACCTAGAGTGTAATCAACGACAAGGAGGATTGGAGGGAGCTATAGAGCGTCTTCGATGAAAATTTCTTCCATTCATGAAGTCTACTCCTCCACATTCTATCAACGTTTCATTTGTCATGTCATCTGATATCTACAGGATTAATCCCAGTCACCCAGTAGGTCCACTACTTGTTAGAACGGCGTGTCTACTGTACTGTTGCTCATTGCGTCTTGATATTGTAATTCAGCGCTCAAGCCCGGAACACTTGAAGCTAACCACTGAGGGTACATTTATAAGGTGGCTAGGACCGCCCATATAATGGATGCTTCCCAGCCAGCACAGCTTAGCCTATATTTGCGTTCAGTTCGATGTGTAGAGTTATTCAAGGTGATGTGAACACCTCTACTGATGATAAAGGTATCCTTATCAGCAGTGAAGCCAAACACTACATACCCCTTCTAAGGAGGGCTGACCAAAAGCGACGGATTTATCCGTATCTTTTCCACCTTTACTTGTTCAAGCTATCTGCATCTTTTTTTCGGGCTGTACAAATCTATTTAGAAGTTTCCTGTTTTTTCAGTAGGCAGAAAGTCGACCTTCATACGACTGCATAGCTTTTATGATTTCGAATGCATATATGTATGATATAAAAAACATATGAAGAGGCCCGTTGATGTTCGAGCCGGCTCCGATATTCCCATATGACTCTGGTACCAATTGATTGACGGTGAATGAAATTAAAGCTTGGTGGCCCGGTAGGGTTTTGGCATGAGATTTGACTTCCGGACTATTTGTGTGATAGTGACCTCCGCCCGTCCCGCTTTCCCGAACACAATTTTTATTAAAGCACCACCAGCTCGTTTGTTCATCATCAACAACTCGAAATTCCTCAAAAAGTGTGAGTGGGCATATAACTTCTCCAAAGAGAAGAGCCCTCCTTACAATAAGGATAAAGGAAAGCATAAAAATGATCCTTCGATGTGCGAGTCGTCGTCAATCCCTGATTATCAGGCACACCCAACTTTTGTTAGATTTTGTGTCACAAAAGTTTTTTTTATCTTTTATGGTTCAATCCGTTTATCAAATTAATATAACATAATCGGACATAACGGTAGGTAGGTATGTAGTTCATGCATATGCATGACCCCTAAGGAGTCAGCTGAACTCTTCCAGTACTAACTGTCCCCTCAAATTTACCGATCTCATTACCGAAAACAGTAGAAAACCATTTTTCAAATCCGTTTACAAAATACATTTATGACTAACTGACTGCCTTGCTAAGTGCCTGTCCCTATCACTGGTATGCGCAGGGACAGGGGATACAGTACCCTCTCGTTTGAATACGGTATACCCGACGGCCACTAGGAGGTTTTTTGACACGCCCATCAGGGAGCGTGCGTAACGACGGCATGGATCCGAGTTTTTAAGACGTTCTTTATGAATCGTTTTTCATCATGACACATCGCCGTCACAGTGGACAAGTCTTCGCCACAGCAGATGATTCCAAAAAGCAGTGTTATCACTAGTTAAGGGTTTATGATTCGTGCCTTAGTCACTACAATAGTGGATGGACTTGGGGACCGAAACTGTGCTTTAGCTTTCAATTTCCATCAAATCGCTCTGTAGTTTCACTGACTCAAATGATCAAATGAGTGGAGCCATGAAAAGGATATTATCATGTAAATGTCCTATTTTTACAATCAAATGGTCCTGTCTTGGACTAGATAGCGGTAATTTGTTGCAGCAAAATGTGCTTAGGCAGACCGATATAAGTAGCCCTTTTCCTTTTTTTGCTCTGCCCTGGCCAAACAGAATCTTCTAACACCTTCTTGGCATTTTTCCACAAATCAAGCACCTCCTTGAGAAAGCGGTACCAATATTCTGTCGTGCCATTGTACTTTCCAAAACATTTTGTGCTGGGAGCTAATGGTAGGAAAGATCCCGTGACAAGTCAGCTAATCAGTCATAACCGTATTATGTGAACAAATTGAAAGGATAATTCTCTACAGTTTCCGGTAAACAGATTACATTAGATTTTTTTACAGTAAATTGAAGCAACAGTTAGTACCGAAAGAATGCAACAGGGTCCACAGAGGTCATGGATATGCACCAGCTACCTACAGCTATGTCTGATTATGTTATCTTAATTTGATAAACAAATTACTTAATTTGATAAACGGATTAAAGCAAATGAAAAATGAAAAGCATCTTGTGACGGCACAAAATCTAATAGTGTGGTGGGTTCCTGACGATCAGGGTTTGATAATGACGCAGCTTGAGGGCAATCTTTATGTTTTACAGTATGACTAATTGTTTGATGGGCTCTTCTTTTTGAAGAAGTTATATGCCCGTTTACACTTTATGATAGGTGTGACAAACGAGTGGGTGATGTTTCGATGAAAATCGGGCCCAGGAAAGCGTGGGAGGCCTGCAACTAAGCACACCATCATTCAAATGGCCCAAGAATCTGATCCCAGATCAATGCCCGCCCAGGTCAACCAAGCCAACTTGGGCGTAAATACAATGGTAGATTGGAGTACACGTTTTGGAAGCGGGACTTGCATCTTTGGATAGAAGAAACTGATGAAGTCCTTCAAAGCTCCACTAGTGTCGAGAGAGAGAATGTATCTGTATAGCGACTTTACCTCGATTTTGAGTAGGTAAACACAACCCATAACCCATGACAAGGATTTGAAGGGCCAAACAGTTAGAGGTGAAAAGCAGGAAAAGAAACAGATGAATCTGTTTTTCAGCCTTGTTTAGAAGTGCTACGTGTTTGGCTTCAGAGCAAATGAGTACACCTACATCATTAGCAGCGGAAATGAAAGTCTTCCAGCCATCTTGAACAACTCTGCATGTTGAATTGAACTGAAGCACAGGCTATGTTGACTGGGAAGCCATCCCACTCTGTGGGCGGTCCTAGTCACCATACCGCCCGGACCTGTCGAAGAAAAATTCTGAGGCTCATGTCTGGTTAGTCACCTTACTGTCATCAGCTGTCACTGAAAAGGGCGCTGGTTTTTCTTGCACAGAAAAGTGATAAGATTGTGTGGCCATAGCGTTTTTACTCAACGCCCACACGATTTTTCCATATATATTCGTATTCGGGAACGTTGAACTCTAGCGGTTGAAGTTTCTACTCGCCCGCCTTAGAAGGTCTGGATATTCTTTTGATACTACCACTCTTAAGCCTGATAAATAGCTCTGTTTAGATGAAGTATCTGATTTTAATTGCTCTCTTTGGATGCTGTCTAGCATCACGTCTACAGTCTGTAGCTATTACCGGAAAGCTGCTATGTGGATCTAAACCCGCTTCTGGAGTCAAGGTGAAGCTCTGGGAGGAAGATAGCGGTAAGTAGTCTGAATAGACTCGATTTTTAGCTGCAGTATGTTTGTTTGGACCGTACTTGGGCTAGATACTTGAATTTCTTGGTGTACCAGGAAACAAAATGACTCCTTGCTTTTTTGTATTGATGATAGTTGGAGCTCCAGGTTTTCTGTTTTCCAGGCCCAGACCCAGACGATCTTCTTGATGAGGGCAAAACAAGCAGTGCCGGCACCTTCACATTGAAGGTGGGTGGTAGAAATTTATTGCTTCCAGCGATTCTTCTCTGATTTGATTTTTTAGGGTTCCGACAACGAAATCACCACTATCGACCCTGTATTCAAAATTTACCATGACTGTGATGATGGAATTAAGGTACGTTACAAAAAACTATTAAGCACATCGGCATATTATGGTTGAAATGAGTTCCAGCCTGGCCAACGCAAGGTGAAGTTCCGCATCCCCAGCTCTTACATAAGCACTGGATCGACTCCCAAGCGCACATTTGATATTGGAGTGCTCAATCTGGAGACTATTTTCCCTGGAGAGGAACGCGATTTCATTTAATTCTTTCTCTATTATTGTTGCTTCAATGACCCGCTCAATAAATTGATTTGAGAAATGTTTTTTGAAAAGGCGAAGCTTCAGCTCATTCCCTTCCCAAACTCGAACCCACTGTGCCCCTAAATGATCTCGTTCGGAGATTTTAGATTCCTTTCATGCCTTCTTTTGGAACATGTTCGCGTTAAACATAGAGCAACTGAGCAACCTGGCAGGGTAACGGCAAAGCTTGGCCATATAAGCTCAACCCCTTCTACATTCAGGTTATTTTCGGCCTACTTATAGGGCACGATGAAAGAATGAAGGATAAATTCTTTAAATATTAGTCAATCCTATCGGAGGGATGCCCCCCCACATTCGAATTCCATTCAGAATCGCAGTGGCGTATTGAATGCTTATGTGGCCTATACAATGAAGTGCGGTGGCCAGCCGATGTACAAGTCAGTGATTTTGTCCTCCCATCGAGTCAGGTTACTGAACGGATGGAAGGCTCGGTCGGTGGCCTGGGCGGAAATCAATCCACGAATCGGGCTGGGTTTATGTTTATGTGATAGTGCGCCACTTGCCACTTCCATCCTACTCATAGAGGGACCTACAAGTTCAATGAAAAGGAGGACTCGCTCTAACCTGAGCCGTTACTTTCTCGTAGACCGGAACTTAAGGCAATTTATGTAGAATTAATGGAGAAGTCGGATTTGAAAACGCTCGTTGTTTGGTAGCAATTCTTTCTTCGGGTAAAATTTTTAGCGAGGATGGCTTTTCACCCACATCCATGGGATTCTCGCCATGCTTATCCGGTGNCCGGAACTCAAGGCAATTTATGAAGAATTAATTGAGAAGTCGGATTTGAAAGCGCTCGTTGTTTGGTAGCAATTCTTTCTTCGGGTAAAATTTTTAGCGAGGATGGCTTTTCACCCACATCCATGGGATTCTCGCCATGCTTATCCGGTGTGTCGAGTAAGCATGGCGCCTGCAACGAGTTCAGGTCACGGGTTAGTCCAAGCATTCTACTCATGACTGTCCACCTCCACCAGTGTAGTTCTAACTCTGTAACCACCCTAACGTCGTGTATCTAAGTAATATTCGTGATTAGTGAGGGGCAAAGAGCGTGTTGTTATCAAGCAAATGGAAGGTAGGGAAAGAACGTCGGACCATATCGTAAGACCGAAATAAGGCACGTATTCGTCTTTATTAACTCAGCAAACTGGGTAGATACAGCAAATGGTACTAACAGATATTGGCACCTACACGCGAGGGTCTTAATATCAGATACAATATGATATTACCAGTACAACAAGTTGAGTTTTTCACAATTTCCACAAATATACTGCTTTCCCACACATGCATATCACAGAAGATCGCGTTCTTCACATTTGAATATTGTTTCCAGGTTCAGAGCACCGAGGTTGAATGCTTTCCTTGGTCTGCCTCCAGGGAAGATATATTGATCCGGGATGTAGAACTTTAATTTCCTCTGACCAGGCTGAAATAAGGATTTTCTTTCGAGATTGTTCAGTTTAGGATCGAATACAGAAACTAAATCTCTATAAAAATGAAAAGAACTGTTACCTTGATCCCGTCGTCGCAATCGTGATAAACTTTAAGAACAGGGTCGATATTTGTCAATTCACGAGTGGAACCCTAGAAAGCAAAGTATGATTGGATTGGACAAAAAAGGATTTTCGTGAGGGAAAGCAGCTCTTGCGAGCAAGCCTTGGCTGATTGAAAGAAGAAGAAAATCGATAGAATTTTTATTCTTGAGAGTTTGTCCTGCTGTCAGAATGATATCTTTAGTTGATAATGAATAGTTCGAACTAGACTATTGACTATTGATCGCGCCTCTGAACGCATGGTCCGGTGATAAAGATAAAAGGATAAAGTCTCTGAGCGTTGATCAGTCTCCTCTTTGGAGTTCGTATACGACTTCTATTCATAATCATAGTGGCGGATTGAATGCGTCCCTGAGCTTCTCTTCTTTGACTTTCCTGTTGAGTCGGCCTGAGCTTCTACCCCTGCTCCGATCAGACAAGATGTGGACCATCCAGCAGTCGAAAATCTCCAAATCTCGGGAAGGTCTCGAAGTATTTCTATATCAGAAAAACATTCGCTTTTCAACACTATGCTGTTTCTAAGCTAACAATTTTGGTTTTCTTCTCTATAAAATGCTGTTCCCTAAAGCTGAGTAAGATTGATTGTTTTTAGTGAGTACATTATGTATTAGTATATACTTGGTTTTTGTGAATAAAGCGTCAATCAGCTCAACACTCAAACCTGGAGATGGAAGTTGCCATTACCGTCGGTGTACATTTCATCTAAGGCATCATCCGGATCGGGTCCTAGGCAATACGTAACATTTCCATACACTATTATAGAGTAGATAGAGGGCGATAACAAACCCCAACGTTATCATTACCCTTTGTGAGCATGGTTTACGTTGTAGGTATGCTTGAGCTATACCGTTACGGGCGTTAGCGGGCCAAAGATCTCACCGCATGAGCTCCCGTTCTCTTTATCCGTAAACGGCGACCGATCTATTAGTCCAATATTAATCTAACAAAAGCTAGCCTGAGCCATGTATGTCTTTGGAGTTGAAGTTTTTCCATTCAAGCGATAGTGCATTTGTTTTGAAAAGTTTAGAAGTTCTTAATCCATTCATGCACTGGTTAAGTCCCCTTACTTCATATACCAAATATAGATCTCAATACCGCTACGAATGACTGTATCAAAACACATCCATCCAGACAGAGAAGGCTCAATTGAAGCGACGTTCAGTGGGATCCATAGACCACATCTACTCGGTCACCAAAGGGCAAATATACTTACTTACCATCGTCTTCGTCCCACAACTTTACCCTGACACCAACGGCCGGCCTATCACCACAGAAAAGTTGGCCACGCACGGCGACGGACTGTTGGCGCATAGCGGCACAGAAGCCGATTAAGGCGAGTATGTACAGCCAAGTTATATGAGGCATAATGTGGCTCCTAAAAACGTTCTTTTAGCTGCACTCTCAAGAGGACTGGCTCAAGAATAACATTGCGTGAAGAATAAAGCAGCATGTCACTGAAATCTCTTCGAGAGATATTGATTGATTGACGATACCCTACTTTATAGAGTAGTGCTGTGATCAGGTTGCCAGGAAGCGGTACGGAGCAGATAAATATGGCTCAGATTTGAAGGATTTAGACAAATTCGAATGATCTAGCAGGTACTGCACAGTTAAAGTCTAACAGAAACGCGACGGCAAGTAAAACTAACATTATACATGCACCGTTCATCTAGAAATTGTCCCATAAATTTTTTTTCGCCACTCCGCCATATTCTTCTGCCAAGATATGAAATTCTTGCATGCAGTGTTCTTTTCTGGTACATTTTGCCTTCACCCATCAACTACGTGGCATTTTCGATACAAAGTAAGCTCGAGCACTCTATAGAACTGACTTACTCTTGGTGCATTATCGTAAGTAAATCTGCACAGTAAGATATGTATTGAGTACTAGCCTTCCCGCTATTACTGGGCCAGCAGAAAGACTAGAACTTGGGCAGTGCGCGGGAAATATTCGAGTTTGAGAGAATTCGTGATTGAATAAGACACTGCGCGTAATTCAACTCTGCTGGTGCTAAAACTTTGCGCGGGATCGGACTTTGCTTGTGATTTGATTGCAGAATAGGGCATTGTGCCTAAAAGGATTCTGCGCCTAAAACAACTTTGCACGGGTTTCGTGTGCGAAGCGAGGCTCTGCGCGTCCTACGATACCGTGCGTTTTTCAGATTCTACAAAATGAGACTCTGCGTGTTAAGCGAAAGTGCGCGTGTTTCGTTTACAAAATGAGGCTCTGCGCGTTGAAGGACAGTGCGCGGGTTGAAACTCTCCATCATTACAAGTCTGCAGAGTCTATGTCTGCGTTCAATACGAGCTAAGCATGCGTAGTTCTTCGCTTCACTTAAGTAGCATCTCTCTATCATCTATCATCGTTGACGACGTGGTGATTGATATAACACAGAGCGGTATGATGGTCGACTCGCTTGCATGCTCCACGCCGAAAGGTAGGCAGGAAAAAAGTTTCCTTATCAACCTCGTCCGAGTCCAAGCAAAGAAAACCGACGGTGGCAAGATTGTTTGTGAAGTATTCCGTCTGAAAAAAGTTACTGTCTTAATATGATGTCGAGAAATATTGTCGATTAAAGTCTGGAAGTGTTGCGTTTCTTCAAAACCTACTATAAGATTCTCATCAAAAATGTTTCCACGTTGGAAGTGCGTTACATAATCATACAACTGGTGAATGTAAAATTCCTCATTTTTCAAGTCCTGAATAATTTCATTTACCAAGTTGTTCTTCCGGAGCTCTGCGTCTATCTCCTCCTTTGACAACAATTTATCTTCACAACTCGACAAAGTTCGCTTAGGGTTGGTCAGACCTCGATCAAATCTTACCTCAAAAAAAAAGCAAAGTGAATTACTCTATCGTGACCAATCCTGCGTGTAATATTAGCCGATTCATAACCACTGTCAAAAGATCTATGTTATTATTTATTTATTTATTTATGCGTAGTGAACGCGCTACACCATGACAGTAATAAGCTGGAGAGGTTGACCTAGTAAGGTGATTTAAGAATTAAGAATTAAGAAACAACAAAGAAACAACAAAGGAAAGTTGCAAATAGAAATCCAATAATGAGTAAATCATGACTAAACGACGCCTGAAAAAAAAAAGAATGAATCTATGCTGAGTAGGTCGAGAAGATGAAATAGAGCGCCACAAAAGTCGCAAATTTGCCAATCAGGTGGACCGGTGACTGCTTCAAAACAGTGCAGCACTTAGAGATAAGCGGGAGACCTTCGCTGCATTGAAGTTACGTGGTGAAAACGTTTCGACTCAACTCAAGAAGTATACGCAATGNAAATGGTACTAACAGATATTGGCACCTACACACCGCGAGGGTCTTAATATCAGATACAATATGATATTACC